GCTCACTGTGTCTGTCTGTATGCCCGCCCCCTCAGACAAGGCCACCAACCCCCTGAACAAGGAGCAGGACTGGGACAGCATCCGCGCCTTCTGCGAGCAGCTCAACAAGGACCTGGAGGGGTAAGAGCCGAGCCCCCTCCCCGCGGCGGCTGTGAACGAGGGGTCTCGGGGCTCCCCCGGCCCGCTCAGTGACCCCTGTGCCTGTTTGTTTCAGCCCTCAGCTGGCCACCCGGCTGTTAGCCCACAAGATCCAGTCTCCGCAGGAGTGGGAGGCCATGCAGGCCCTGACGGTAAGTGAGCGCCTGGGGTCCGGCACTGCGCTCAAGACCGGTGTGGTCATTCAGAGCGGGCAGCGGTCAGCATAGAGCAGGCAGCTGGCAGTGGGCAGCAGACAGGCTGGCACCATGCTCAAAGCTATGGTGTGGTCATTCAGAGTGGGCAGTGGGGAGTGGGCAGCAGACAGACGCGCTCAGGGAAGAAGGGCTGTTTAGATCTGGGTTTGATTGGAGATCTATGGCAAGGGGGGTGGGAATCAGAGAAGCTGTGGGCAAAGGGTCTCTGAGACAGACGAGGCTGTCTGTACGTGACGGTCCTGCTGTACATGCGGTCAGTAGTCAATACGTGTGTGGTCAGTCCTGCACTGTGTGTTGCCAGCGGTCATTGTTGCACTTTGAGTGGTTGGTGTGTGGTCAGTGCTCAATATTGTGCTTGGTGTGAGGTCAGTGCTCAGCAGTCAGTGTTGTGGTTTGTGTGTAGTCTGTGGTCAGCGTTGAGCTGTGTGTGTTCAGTGGACAAGCGGTCAGCGCTGAGCTGTGAGTGTGGTCAGTGTTTTACTGTTCTATATTGTAGTCAGCCATAAGTGTTTTGCTGTGCTGTGTGTGGTCAGCGGTCAGTGTTGCTCTGTGTGTGGTCAGCGGTCAGCGGTCAGCGGTCAGCGCTGTGTGTGTGTTTCCAGGTCCTGGAGACGTGCATGAAGAACTGTGGGAAGCGTTTCCACAGCGAGGTGGGGAAGTTCCGTTTCCTTAATGAGCTCATCAAGGTGGTGTCGCCCAAGGTGAGCGCCCCCTGCTGGACACCGCACAGAGTGTTAACCAGTACTGCTGTACTGCATTACAGGACGACAGTGCTGTAAGAGGACACTTTTACTGTCGGGGCCCTTGTGTCCCCGTCTCTCTCTCTGTCTCTCCCTCTGTCCCTGTCTCTCTCCCCCGTCTCTCCCTCTGTCCCTGTCTCTCTCCCCCGTCTCTCCCCCTGTCCCTCTCTCTCTCAGTACCTGGGCACGCGTGCTCCGGAGAAGGTGAAGTCGAAGGTGCTGGAGCTGATGTTCAGCTGGACGGTGGGCCTGCCCGACGAGGTCAAGATCTCGGATGCCTACCAGATGCTGAAGAAGCAGGGTGAGTGGAGCTCCGCCTGCGCGGCGCCGGTCCGGAGCGGAGCCGGCCGGCCGCTGACCGCCTCCCCTTCCTCTCCGTGTCCCCCTCCTCCTCCTCCGCGGATCCAGGGATCGTGAAGCAGGACCCGGTGCTCCCCGACGACAAGCCCCTGCCCCCGCCGCCCCCCCGGCCCAAGAACGCCATCTTCGAGGACGAGGAGAAGTCGAAGGTGAGAGGGCTGGGGCGCGTCCCCAGGACAGTGGGGTGCAGGGCCATCGGAGACCGAGGGTTTTACCCCCATAACCCCCCCACCCACCCTCTCTCTATGCCTTGTCCTTCCTCCCTTCCCGCTCCCACCCTCTTCCTCTCTCTCTCTGCCCCTCCAGATGCTGGCCCGCCTCCTGAACAGCACTCACCCCGAGGACCTGCGGGCGGCCAACAAGCTGATAAAGGAGATGGTGCAGGAGGTGAGCGAGCCAATCGAGACCGAGCCGGCCCCCTGACCCGGTCAGAATGACCCCTGTCCCCCCTGTACTGCGGGCCGACCCGGTTCCCGCGGGGAGCGGGCCCATGCCCAGCCTCTGAGCGCGTCTCCTGCCCTCCCGCAGGACCAGCGGCGCATGGAGAGGATCTCGAAACGGGTCAACGCCATCGAGGAGGTGAACAGCAACGTGCGGCTGCTGACGGACCTGCTGCACGGGTACAGCCACGACACCACCACCCCCAGCAACGAGGAGCTCATCAAGGTCAGGGGGCGTGGGGGGCGC